CTCGCCCACTCCCTAAAGCCACACTGAATGCTTCCTAATAACAGCTGTGACTCCCGAGTTAGCAAGTGAATCTGCAGGAGCTGAGCTTATTCCATATCCACAGTGATGCCTCTGTCTTGGCTCTTCCCCCACCACTCTCCAATCCTTCAGATCCTCTCTGCACAAAGCTGAAAGGAACAATAAGCGAATTGTGTACCAGGACAGCCCACTCCCTAAAGCCACACTGAATGCTTCCTAATAACAGCTGTGACTCCCGAGTTAGCAAGTGAATCTGCAGGAGCTGAGCTTATTCCATATCCACAGTGATGCCTCTGTCTTGGCTCTTCCCCCACCACTCTCCAATCCTTCAGATCCTCTCTGCACAAAGCTGAAAGGAACAATAAGCGAATTGTGTACCAGGACACTTCTACATATGCCAAGCATTCACTCAGAAGCTAATTGAAAATGCAATACTAGCCTTGCATGGCCTGGTGCCCTGGGATTTGGGGGGGTGGGGGAGGGGATATCTATCCACTGTACATTACTAACTGGCTGCTCAAAAGTGCAACATAAGCTTCCTCTGAGTGTTGCTGATGGGCCTTTAATTATTGATGAATGCAAACCAGGAAGTTTTGTGATTTTGAGGTGGAAGGAGCAGTAGGGCTGGGTGGGATGTAACAATTCCATTTCTTCTTTAGTATTTACAGACTTCCTCCCTCTTCTTGCACATCACACAGCTCCCTTTGCTTCTTTGAAATCCGCCTCCAAAACATGCCGCTTTTCCAGGGAGCTTTTCAGTGATCATTCTATGTAAACAGCTCCACTTGTTTGATCCTGACCCATTACCTGGTGTATTATGCGGGCCAGCCCCCTACCATCAGTCTCAGCTTCTGAACTGTGGGGCCTTTGGGGGTAAGGATTGTGCTTTCCTCTAAGCTTACAGAGCATCTAGCATGAGCTTGATAAATAATAGTAATAATCATACCTTGTGAATCTAATTAACCCTACATTCTGTTGACATACAAAAACAGTAGTGGAGGAGGATATTCAGAAATCAGTGACCCGAGTGCTCCCTTTGCTTGGATTATGTGGCCGTTAATTGTTATTGTAACAACACACCATGGGCTAAAATCTGCAGCTATGACCAGAGACTCCCATTGACAGTTCACGGAGCAAATGAGTGGGTGTGAGCCTGCAACTGAAAATGATGCGGTCGTCCCCTATGGCATGTAGCCACCAACTAGGGGAAAAGGGAGGGTGAGATGAGGAACAAACAAGAGTTTAAAGAAGACACAGACAGGCACAGAAATACATTAAAAAACTTCATCTACAATGCAGATTAATGTAAACTAGGGCTTGAGAATGATTGAAGGACAGAGATTAGGTACATGGAGCTATTGTGAATTATTTGAATAAGGCAGGAGCATGACTGCAAGATGAAGTGAGGAAATAATTTAGTACAAGCCAAGAACTGAAAGAATTTAACTTTTAACCAAAGGTAGGTGTGTCTTGCAAAGTTCAGAGCTGAACTTTCACATCTGAGGTAGTGGAATGAAATAGAGATGGGGGAGCTGTAGAGTGCAGCTATATTTGAATATCACCAACATTCAGAGGTGCTTGCAGCTGTAACCACAGCTGGGATTTTCTTCACGAGCCTAACTTTCTTCCCATGTAAATAAATGGGCATGTTATTATTAATTTCAGTGGAACAGAGCTAGAACATACAGAAAATACAAACAGAACTAGGAATGAAAATATATGTGGTTGGTGTCTGGGTTGACTGGTAGGTTAATGAAACTGAGGCAATTTGCAATGACAGCAGAAATTACACTTTATAACATGGAGATATTACATGTATTTCTAAGCATGGCTTTGTGTACAATGTGAAAGTGTTAGAAAACATGGTTACTAGCCCATTTTAATTAGAACCCTGCTAGATTCCAATCAGCACCTAGTGTACACAGGGAAAAGTCATGTTTAACAACATATTAGTTGGTCATGGTTTACAATAGGTGTTGGCAAAAAGCCATTGAGGAATCATGATTATCATATGCCCAAGAAAGCTATGTTTTACCACCTACCTGGAAGAAACCTGCTTTTCTCTTTGGTTGGTGACAGACAGAACTTATATTCAGCTGATTAAATATATCACTAGACACATCATGCAACAGTTATGAGGATCAGTATGACAGAGACCTCACATGACCCTTTCTTTTGTGAACTAGAATAGGCATGCCAGAGTAAAACTATTCTTATAACCCCCTCTATCTGTTGGCATTGAGGAGTTCTGAGAGTCACACACTACCAATCAGACCTGGGAGATAATTCCTTCCGGACCCCATATATGGTGTTCAGTTCCACACAGTTATTTAGACTCCTAACTTCCATTGATTGCAAACCTAGATACTTTTGTGGATCTGGGCCGTAAACCCATAGGTCAACATGAATTAGCCACCTGGGAGACAGAGTGCTCAGTGCCACCTCTGAGCCCCGGCCCTCCTCATCCAGTGTCTCCTATCCAACTGTGGCCATCACTAGATGCTTCAGAAGGAGACAAAAACCCCGGAATATACTGGGGAAAAAAGCTCCTTTGCTGACCCCTGCAGGCGAACAGCTGAAGCCCTAAGTCATAAGATTTTAGGAGAATCCTACATAAACAAGAAGGGACCCACCTCTAGCTGCCCGGACCTGCCCTCATCATTACAAGCAATCCCATCAAAGAATCCCACTCATAAATGTGTCCATCTCTTCCTTAAAACTAAGTAAGTTTGTCCCCGGCCCCACAACTCCAACTGGGAGACTTCAGTTTTGGGAAGTTCTGTGACATGTGCTACCCATGAGGCCAGACCAAATGATCACAGTGATTCCTTTTGGCCTTGGAATTTATGAATCCTCACTCTCCTAATGGTTAGAAGCCTTCTTCTAATTTCCAGCATGAATTTATTGATGACCAGTTTGTACCTATGTGTTTTTGTGCCAACATCACCCTTTAACTTAGTTTTAACTTTAACTTAGGCTCCCGCATTCAACAGATCAACCTAATAGCTCTTTTCTGTACCTGTTTCATTTGAATTCATCTTTTTGGAACATGTACACACAAACGCACACAGTATTCCAAATTAGGTCATGCCAAAGCCTTGTATTAAGACATTAATACTTCCCTGTCTCTACTGGGAATGCTTTGCCTGATCATGCTAGGATTGCATTTGCATTTTTTTGCAGCTGCATCACACAGGTAGTTCACGGTCATTCTGTGATTACCCAACAGACCCTGATATCTGATAAACCACAATTTCATTTTGAAAACTCCAGCATTCAGGAAGACACTAAAACCGTATTTAAGAAAGACTTGATGTTTTCTAGTATCTGATAGTGGCCACTACTGGAGATTCCGTATGGTGGTTTCTATCTTCACTTAAAAAAAAAGCCAATTAGTCAAATGTGTGGCACTGACGTCTATGTTCATCTCTCCTGGGGAAGTCAATTTGTCCAGTACATGCTGGCTATTTGATCACATCTCAAAATTAGTAGCATCTAAATGACTCAAACCTCTCTCCTAGATCTGACATTCCTATATTCCCTATCAAACCCTGTCAGTAATTTTCCAGTGTTCTGCTTCCTCTCTCTGAGGCTATTCTTAGCATCTAGGTTTATCGCCTGCGGTGGCATAAGGCGTCTGTTATAAATTAGGCGTTTAAATTGACCTCAGAGGAGTTTTCAAAAAGAGGCACATACAATATACGCAGTCAACAGAGTTTATCAAAAGGAAACATTCCTACCAACATTCAAAAGATTAGGGGGACCTGACTCTGAAGCTACATTTAGTCTACAAGCTTCTTTCGAAAGAAGCTTTTCCAGAAGAGATCTTCCGGAAAAACTTTTTTTGAAAGAGAGCGTCTACACCGCAAAAGCACAACAAAAAAGGTCGCCTTTTTTGAAAGATAGCATTTACACTGATTGGATGCATATAAAGCCACCTGGAACCAGTTCAGACAGGGCATTAGGTCAGCAGTTGCTTCCAAGCACTATTACCTAAGTCTAGCTGAGAGACGCGCTTAAAGGGAACCTCCTGGACAGCTGTCTCTCTGTTTCTGCTGCGTGCTTGCCTACCTCTCAGAGGGGCTGCAAAGCTCTTGCAGTGCATGCTCTGATTGCCCAGCTTTTGGATGCCACAGCATTCTGCTTGACATTGAGCCAAAGTTCCTGTTGGGCATGTGATGACCCCACACGGCCATGCTGCACTTTGTGCAGACAGCCTTCCTGGCCCTGCTTATGGAGGTGAGGTACTCTAGGGCTGCAGTCCCTGCTGGGAGGAGGGAGGGCGAATTCCTGGAAAGGGAAACACTAGGAAAAGGGGAGCGGGAGAAGGGGAATCCCTGTCCCTGGGGGGGTTGTGCCATCCCACCCTCACACAGCCCTGCTGGGGAGCAGCCTCATTGGGGGTGGCTCCTGGGGTGTTTGAGGAGGGAGGAGAGGGAGAGGCCATCTCCCAAGGGCTCAGACACGCCCTCTCATTCTCTATTTTGTGTGTTTGTTTGTCTCCTGCAGACTGTGAGGGCCATCAACTCGGTCCTGCTGTGCAGGGTCATCCGCCTGGAAGACCTGGACCCAATTGTCACAGGATTTGCTGCCCTGGGGTTCCCAAACTGCGGGGAGAGGGGAGGGTGATCGATGGAACCCACATCCCAATCTGTGCACCAACTCATTGAGCAGCCCAACACATAAACTGCAAAGGCTACTTCTCGATGGTGCTGCAGACCCTGCTTGACCACTGTGGACAGTTTACAGACATTTTCGTCAGGTGGTGAGGCAGGGCACACGACACCTGCGTATTTAGAAACTCCAGCCTCTACGGCAGTGGTCCCCAACCTTTAGAGGCTCCTGGGCACCCGGCCACTCACGCACCGGGCGCCCGGGGGGTGGGGCTACTCATGTGACGGGTGCCCGGGGGCGGGGCCTCGTGTCCTGGGGCACACCAGGGGCGGGGATGCCCTTGCACCTGGCG